TACTTAGCTGCAAAAATTTGTGTTTTTTGAAAGACTGTCTACTAAAATAATTAATAAATCGACCACGATTTCTTGACAAAACATATATCTTACCAATAATCATCGAACATCTATTTCAACGTGAAAAACTTGAAAAATTACATACAAATTCTTTCCTGCTGTAACTTTTATTTCATTCTCATAACACGTTTTGCTGCTTATCGTTTTGAACCAATTTTACAATTAGCTTTACATCACTTATAAATTTTAAGCATCAAAATCAGAAAAAAATGTCAAGTATTTTTTTTTAAGTGTCTCATACCTGTTATACGACGTTTAATGATGCATATTCTTATTATATTCTTTTTTTTTTTTGTATTTTTTGTGCTCTACTCTTCTCTTAACAAAGCTTTACCTGTTGCTGCTGTTAAACCTACTAAATAACAATAACTTGTATCAAAATCTCTTGGTATCTCTCTCAAAACTGTATTGACTGCTCTTCATTCAATGACAGCGATACTCGTGCGTGCGTTCACGCAGATTTTAAGTCACGTTCGGCAAATCTGATATGAATCTGATAAATTAAGCTTTTACTTATGTGCATCGATAAAAATTATTTATAAAACTTTATACATGAAGGTTGTTTTCAAAGAAACTGCAGATAACGCAAAGTAAGTGGTAGAAAATTAACAGGATCTGTTCGCGGAACAAAATAGAGAAAGTGAAAAAGCAAAAAGTCATCATGCTTAGCAACAGTTGTTTATTTAAAATGTATTTCTCTGCCTGTATTTGCACAAACGACGATAAATCAGAAAAGAAAAAACGTTGAGATAGTAGAATGAGAGAAAATAAAGAGAGGTAACATAGTCACACATTAGTTAAGTATTATATAAAATTAAACAGTTTTGTATTCTCAAACATTTCATCACGGTTTTTTACCAGCAACATTTTTCACTAGTAGCATATATTAAAAATTTTAAGTAATTTGTACTGCAAAAAAATAAATCATTGGTTCTTTCATTCAGCATTGCGGGTTTAAGTGGCATTAAAAAGCAACGTGTTTGTGTCTTACTAGTGAACGTTATAGGCAGTAATGCTTAGAACAGCGAAATTCCTGTTTTTTGTTGCAACCAGCAAAAAAGGATTCACTTATTTCAAAGAGTTTTCAAATGCGACCGAACAGAAGGCTTCTCACTGTCAATGTCCCTACCAGAAAAAGATAACAGTTTTGAGAATTTTGTCGGTAGTTGTGAAACTAAGCTTAAATTTTAGCCTGTTCAGCCATTACATTAAGTCATTATGAATTGGATCAAAACAAACTGGGTTAGAGAAAAATAAAGTGGTAAGACTTAAAGCCCTGGAAGTACTAAAGTATAAAGAGAGCAAACGAAATGTTAAAAACTAAAAAACTGAGCAGAATTTCGCTACAAGCTCCCATTTCTCAGAATTAAAACACATGAGTTAGTGCTAGAAGAAGCAAAGTAGAATAAAGCTTCAAGACTTTGCAGTCGTATGGTTCAAGTTCAAATAAATCAAAAAAGTAGAAATTTTTGAGTGTCTTTAGATTGTTAATTTCATAAATAGAATGAGTTTTATTGCACGACAAAAGTGCAACGTAAGATGACAATAAAAACTACATTTGAAACCATCTTATCAGTAACAAGACAATTTTTCCCAGTTGTTATGCCCTGATTTTATTTCTGCTGTGGTCACTTTCTTCTAAGAAATAAATGCACAGAAACTCCTAAAGCGACAATTTTGGTCGAAATTAAGAAAAGATGTTAAACCATAACTGTAAAATTTTGAATTTTCCAAATTTTATTTTTTAATAAAGCTTTTTGGGATTTGCAGAAGTTAGACAGCTTATCGTTGAATACTCAAATCAATTTTCATTCTTTTAGTTTTATCTTATTTTCTTGTTTGTCTAAGTTTCCTAAAGAGAACTGCTGCAAACAAATTCCTTGTGCTACACTAATACAAAAAACTTTGATAACTGAAACAGTTACATTATTATTGACTTAAGTGATCGTCAATAATAACTGGCGACAGTGATTTTGGTTACATTGACAATAGTTAAGTGGTTATTCTTGAACAACCAGTCCTTGCCAACTGTCTCAAAACAGTAACGTCTGCTCTTCGTCAAATGCAGTTGTACCTATGCTTTCACGCAAGTTTTGAGTTATGTTCTGCAAATGTATGAGAAACTAATAAACTAAACTGTCAATTACGCGCATCAATAAAAGTCATTTATTAAACTTTACACTTGAAAATTCTGTTCAACAAAATTGCACTGAAAACAAAAAAAAAAATAAAAAACCACAGAATCTCTTCAAAAAACAAAATATGTGAAGTACAATACAAAAAGTCATCATACGTAGAAACAAATTTCTGCTTGAAATATGTTTCTCAAGATGTACCGACATGTGCAGAATTAAATTAAAAAAGAAGATTGAGATGAGGAGGAAGAGGCATTAAAGAAGAATAAAATAACTGTACATGTAATTAATCATTACGTAAAATTAAACAGTTTTTGTAGTTCCAAGTTTCTATGTACATATTTTACCTTATAATAACATTGAATTACAATTCGCTCGCTTAAAAATCACGCTTATCTTTTGCACAAAAATTTAAATTCAACTTTTTTTATTCTTTAATAGACTAATAAATGTAAGCTTTAAGCGCAAACAAACAACAGGAATAAAATTTTATTAAAGTAATGTAAAGCCACTTTTTCAACCGGCTTTATGCTACACTGTTCGTATACCCATAATTACCGCCAACGTGATGTTGGTTTCAAGGTCACTGAAATACATCGGGCTGGCAAAAGGATGTCATCAGAAGAATAAGTATCAAACAACATGAATAATAAAAAAACAGCATTGGGAAAATTATAAATTAATAGCTAGATAACTGGTCCTCGAAATCGTTACATTTCTTATTGCAGGTCATAGCGCACGATAACGAACAAGTATAATATGGCTGATCTTGCTCTAAACATTGCTGCATACATGACTCATTGCACAAGTGTATGCAATTTGGCGACTTCTGGAATGAATGTGGTATGTTCACTTGTATGCGGCCTTTCCTTACTACCATATTTTGCCGTGAATTCCACTTAGTATCTGCAGTTCCGTTCAGCTCGTGGTTGACTAACTGAAGAGGGTTTAAAGATGCTTCTTTAGGAGAATTAATCGAAGAATTAATCGTAAAAGTGTGCAGAAAGCTGCTGTCAGACGCTGAATTTTCACGCATATCATCTTGCAATGCATTTATACGATTACTTGCATTTGAACGAAACCTGCTAATACAGTCAGAACTGCAAGCCGGTGCACATGCAACAACGCATTGCTTTTGGTCTAAATTTGTTTTTGAAGAAGATTGTTCTAAGTGGTCTAGCGGAATGGATAATGTAGCAGTTTGTTTTGAAAACTCTGTAGCGTTGTTTATACAGCCCACGTCACATCCGGGCATACACAGCGAAACGCAAATACTGAGTGACATATTTTTTGTGCTAGACTGATTCGTCGAAACTTCGTCTTGAAATATTTCTTGCTTTAACGGAGGTTTTGAGTTCTGTTTAACATGAACTAGCTCTACCTGATCCTGTTTTGAACCAGGTAAAGCACTAAAAACAGGAAAAATATTGTAACTTTTATCAGTGTTCCGGTGTCCTCCCGTTACTTGGTTGTCATTACCCAAATTACTACTATGATCATTTCCACTTTCAGAATATAACGGCGAGAAACCATCGACAGTTGTTTCCGTAACAGTACGTTGCGAGGTGTCCACGACGTTATTATAATTATCCAAATAAAGATTTCCTTTGGTATGTTTGGGAACTTGTACTTCGACGTTTGCTGCCTGAGCGTCCGAAGAGATTGCTACAGCCAGATTGCCAATGCCATTTCTCCATAGACAATCTTGAGTACAACTTGGCATACAACGATCACTACAGAACACCTTTCCTGCAGTAATTTGCTGTCCTGCAGTAACGGCGTCTTGCTTTATCTCGATTTGTGTTTCAGTAGCGGCACTTGACGTACCTAAGCTACGCTGGTTCTCTTGTGGAACTTGTGCCTTCATTCCTGATAAACTTTGGATGTAAGGTAATGTTGTCTGCGACAAAGAATCGTTATGACCAACTGTGGAAAGTCGTTGTGGTGGATAGATGCTAAAACGGAGCTTTAATAACAGTAAAGAAGATTTTTAAATGTTTTTTTAAACTAAAACGAGTGTACTTTAGCTTATAAGAATATTATTCATTATATAGGGAAGCTTCCTATTTATGGTACTGTTAAATGTAAATATTCTGAGTATTTTAACTTACCACTGCTGAGAGCAGCTCTGCTGACATACGGCCTGACTTAATTCTTCTTTATTAGTGCACGACTGAATGCAGTTAAGTGCACATTGCTGGACAGCAGAATTTTCGCTGTTCTGACGTAAAATTGTTCCATAATGTACTGGATTAGGATAGGAAATACTAGTTTGGTTAGAATTGTTTGACGTCTGTACCATTTGCTGTGTAACGGTGTCATTCTTAAGTAATATAATGTTTGTAAGGCTCTGGTTTTCAGGAAATTCGCCAACGGGAAATAATTGTCTGTAATGTGCTGCAGCTTCTGCGGAAACTTTGCTGACATTTCTGTCGCTAATTGAGGATAACTGCTGTGAAGGAACGAATTGTAGTTTTTTTTGATTTGGTTGTAAAATATTCGAGCTTTCTGTTGGATGACCCATGCGTACTAAGTAGACCTGAGGTTCCTGCGTGATTTCATTCGGTTTAAAACTGTATTTTTCAGGTATTTCATGATTTTTGAGTCCAAAATTTGTTGTAACGGTGTTTCTGTTGGGAACAGCAGTGCTGGTCATCGATGCGGCGGTAATTCTCAGTTGCTGAGTTGAGTAAGAACTTAACACTTCTGGTGCTTGGAGTATTTTTTCAGTTGGATTATCACTAGAATTTGTAAATTGGCCATTACATTTAATCAGGTCTGCTTGAGAACTGCTCTCTTGCTGCTTCGCTGACATAGCTTCAACACTTGTTTCGTCAATAAGTAACATACACTTCTTTGTCGGTGATTCAGACAAATTTTGTAAGTGAACTCCTGATGGTGAAATCGCCTGTGAATTTCCAGTAAATAATTCACTTACTGACTGGTCATTAGAAGATTTTATATATTGCTGCTGTTGTGTTGACTGGGTGTCATCCGACGATGGATAACGTTGAACTTCGATATGAATTTTGTCGTTTTTTGGATTGTTGGTGTACGGAAGCAAAGCTGCAATAGATTCTTTTAGCTGCTTCAAAACTTCAGGATCATCTATTTGCAACTCATCGTATAGTTGCTGAATATCCGTTATTCTTTGCTCTTCATTGTTTACAGAAATGTCATTGTCCAACGCCTGGCTATTAAATTTACTTCTGCCGGTTTCAAGAACAAATTTTCTTCTTACTTCTTCATGGCGCACATTGCTGGCAGCCAAGTTTTGCATCTGAGAGTCTTCATTTACTGAATTCAGTTGCTTTGCAAATGATTGCGCCGTTCCAGTCTGCAGTGTCCAACCTAATGGTTGGGCTGTAGTTCTCAGATCTTTGTATGGGTCTTGTTGCAAATTCACCCTAGTTTGCATAGTTGTTTGCTGCGAAAAGTGCATCGTTGGAGTTAGGTGCTCAAGTCTTGTAGGCTGTAGGTTTTCTGATGGAGTTTGTTGCTGCCTTTGCTCTTGATAGACGGGTGGAGATAACTGTTGTCGGAAATCCACTTTATTTCCCACTCGAGTTTCAGATTTTAATTGTTGGGCGTATACGGACTGCAAGCTTTTCTGTTGTGACTCTTTCTGCTGGTTTGATTTTATCGTTATTTGCTGCAGCTGTTCTTGACTTTGCCACTGTTTTGACGGGACTATTTGTTGGGTAATTTTAGAATACGTTTGGCTTTGCTGCTTATTAGCTTCGTAGGCAATATTTGCCTGTTCTGGTTTAGAACATATATTGGAGCATGTTGTTGAGCAAGCTAGCCGACAATGGTCTAATGGCTGATTAATATCCACACATGACTGTACACATGAATCTTGGCAAGCATGTTGACAGTTGATCTCAGTGGTACTTGGACTATCAGCCATGTAACAAGCGCAGTCCACATCATCTTTACCCATCTCTACAGTAATACAGACACATTTTGGAATAAGACTGGAAATATCGGGATAATTTGACCATAATATTGTTGTTTCTTCAACCTAAAGGATTTTTATGTTAGTTAACTCTTAAATTTTAAAAATCTAAGTTTTTTGCTTGTGCTAGTTTGGAACTTTTTTGCTTTTTTATTCGATGATTTTTTTTTAAGACTACGAAGAGAGAGATATGGATTGTAAAGCTAGAGCGGTTGCTTTTACTTATGTCAAAGAGTTATTCTGCTCAGTCTTTTCTGAGGCATAATGAGAACAGAAGGGGGAGCCGATTTTATAACGCAAATTTGGGAACAGTATTCGGGCAGTAGAGGAAAAAAGGAAACAGAGGAAAAAATCCTAAGAAAATACCTTTAAAATTTTTTATCATTCTCAGAACTTAAGAGGGAAAGAAATGGGCACTTTCTTAAGAGGTAAATCTTTAGATTTTTTACATTTAATTATAAAATAATTTTGTATTTAGCACTTTTTCGGTTTGGCTGTTAACATATTAATGACCTATTTTCACATAATTTGCCCAGATCTCTCTTAATGTTCTGTAATTCAGCAATTGCATTGAAAAGAAATTCTTAAATTTCTTGTAACAAGCAAATTAATGGTTAATGCGGTTGTGGGATAAAGGATTATAGAAATAACAACGCATTTTGTAGCAATTTCATTTAGATTTGGACTAATTCTGACAAAAGCAATTACTTTACCACTACTGAGGTCTTTGACCACTAATCTGTTATGAAAAAAAGTTGTCTCATTGACCAATAGGCCTATAAAAGTGTAAACTTAGAACATAGGATATCATTTGTTTAACCAGTCACAAATTGCAACTGTTACAAAGACAATAATTTTATAACGGCTTTAACAGTAATAATAAAAAAAAAAAAACTTATTTCTAGTATCAGCCTCTAGATTTTTTGAACTTTTTTATTTTTTCTATTGTTTATCAGGGAATAACCGGCAATTAAGCGTATTCGAGATGTACGGGAAAAAAATGCAAGCACAAAAATTGGAACTCGTTATGCCAGTAAACTTATAGAAACGTTTTTGTATCGATTGTTACTGTTTTGTAACTGCTGTATCGTATCTAAAACCGGAGCATGAAAAAGTTTTGAAATAGCAGACGTATAAAATGAAGAAAGTTTTGTTTTTATTTTTATTTTATGAATAAAAAATGCATTAAAATTGTTAAAATTACTTGTTATTTTTGCTATGTGTCAAAGTTCAAAACAAATAAAATTGATCTATTGAAAATTATTGTCTAATTTTTTTTTTTTTTTTTACTGTATCAAAAGATTTTCAGTTATAAAAAAAGTAATTTTGATAATCTTTTAACAGGTTTTGATCTCTCTGTTAGGTTGAATGAATCATTCTGATTTTTATATCGTCTTCGCGTACGCAAGTTTACGGCAGTCACCAATAACCGCTATAGACTATAAAACTGAATGAACTAAAAAATGAAGAGTTTAATAATGATTAATATTTGACTTATTGCAAAAATATGTATTGATAAAATTAAAAAATGTGCAAAAAAAGAGGAGGCTTAATTTTACTTACTTTAATAGTAAATTAGGATATTATTTGGAACATAAGACTGCTTAAAGTAGCAGTATCATTTTACTTCTGAATGCATTTGTTTATGTTCACAGGTATCTAAATTTGTTGCTTCGGTTTTTCTTTTTTTTTTTTTTCGCTTTGTCAGGACAGTCAAAAAAGAGCTGGAAAATTTTTGGCAAATTAAAATTTTGAAACAAGAAAAGAAGAGGATGTAAAAGAGTTTTAAAAAAGTTGCCAATTATCTGTCTCTTTACTGATATAAACACAATAAGCTTTTCTCTTGTTTTAGTTAGCTTAAGAAACTGTATCGCGGTCGGTGTTTAAGTGTATTTCTGAGCTTTTAAAGTTTTGGAACGACAGTTTTTGTTTGAACATGGAATTTTTTTAACCAAATTTTGGCAATAATTTGTTGTATGAGAAGAAGTCTTTAATAAGTGACTAAAAATAAAAAATTGAATAAAATTTGATAATTAGAATAGGTAGGAAAAAGACATTGTCTAAAATCATTTCTTTTGAAGCATCAATTTTTCTTGAATACTTTTTGATTCAAATGAACAGTTGAAAAAAGACTGGAAAAGTTGAAGTGAATTTGCTTAAGCAGCAGCACAACAAAGGCAGCAAAAAAAGTGCTTAATACACAAGCAAAAAAAAAAGCAGTGTTTCTTTTTATTTAGAACAACTATTTCTTCAGATTTGTTCTTTTTTCTTCTGCAGTTTTAAAAAGCTTTACTTCTAGATTTTGTAAAAAAAAATGTTTTTTGTTTTTTTTTTTTTTTGTTTGAAGAAATTCTGCAAATTAAAAATTTGTTCGGGAAAAAAACTGTATTACAGCAAAGTTTGCTCTCAAAAAAATATTGTTTTCTTTCTGTGATTTTATAGTGATAATAGATGTTCTACTTATTGTATTGCCTTCAATTTGTTTATTGCTAAGACTTAATAACAATAAATTTGAGCAAAAAAAAGATACTACTGTTCAAGAAAGTGATAAAGAATTCAGCCAACAGATTAACGGTGGATTCTATTACAAAGCAGAAAGCAGAAAGAACAACCAGATAAACTGTTTGCATTTACTGATAACAATCGGTATTTTAGCCGATGGACAAAACCTCAGTAATTACTACTGGTTAATTGGCTTAAAACTGAAGAAAGCGGTAAATCAAATGTAACAATTATTATTTTTGAAGAAAAAAACTGAATAGGTGAAATTCAATAATATTTTAGATATTAAAAATGAAAGAACTTTGCAACTATACCTGTGTTTTATTTAGATTTGCAGCTATAAACTGTATTAACAGTATCAAGTAGGTTACAGCTGCACTGGAAAACAACATCAAATACACCGGCAAATGTTACTGAAAAAGGAAAAAAACTAGTTTTTCGTCAAAAATAGACCATTAGACTTATTCGAATATGAAAAAAAATCAGCAAAATTTACAAGTATAAATAACAGTATAATGAACAGCAGTATTGCAGCAATAGACTGAGTGAAAAGTGATCATATAATTGAGTAAAACAAAAACTCACTGGTCACAATGATGGTATTTTGATGAAATAGTCAGCACCGGTAACTAAGCTTCAATCTTAAGCAGCTCTTCAAGTCCTTGAATGGTTTATTTGATCACACTAGTTGCTTGAATGCTTTTTTTTTCTTGTTATGTTTCTTCTTCTTTTGTTGCTGCTGCTGCTGTTGTTGCTTTTTCAGCAGAATAAAACAAAGTTAAGGAACTGTTGTTGAAGTGTAGGCTGAAAAATGACCGTTCATATGTGCACTTATCTGTGAACAAAAAAAAAAAAATATTCTAGCTTTATGATCATAAAAATCCAGAAGTGATTCGCCTCTTCTTCACCAATTTTCTTTTTTTTTTTTTATTTACGATTATACATTCTCAATGAAGGACTTCAGTCTTGTTTCTTTGAACTGGTCTGCATTTTCATGTAAACATATTATAATAAAGAATTCTTTTGACTTTGCTACTGCTGCTACTGCTCTTGGCTTACAAAAATATGCATATTTTTTTTCTTCTTGTTACTATTATTAAACAAGTTTGAAAAGTTATTTTTAGCTTTTAAAATTCCTGTTCAAAAGTATAGTGATAAAAGAAAAAAAAAATTGCAGAATAAAAAAGACTAAGTTTCTATGAAACATTATCAACTGGTTAAACTGCCGTTAATGTTTATGCAGCATAGCAAAAAAAAAAAAATTATTGTAAGAACTGTGTATCAAACTAAAACTGAAACTTATCTTTAAGCGAACAAAAAGTTATACATTTTTTTTTCTTTTCAAGCAAAATTTTTTATTCCATAAATTACCAACAATTTTTTATGATATCAATAATTAGTTTTTTTTTTTTTTTTTTTGTTCGTATTGTCTTGTTTTGTTAAACCAGCTACTATTTGTTCAGATACCTCAGTTTTACTGCAGTTAGCCAGATAAGTTCTAAAAATAATTTGTAGTAGAAAACGACAACTTAAGAACACGCTTCTAAATTTTTTCACTACCCCTTCTCGGACAACTTTTGTAGTTGTTTACTTATTTTGTGAATGTAAACTAAGAAATTTTATAATATAAACTTTGAAGGTCAAATAAACTTAGACAAGTAAACAGGTTATTTTTGTGACGGCTATTTATAACAGCGGTTAAAACATTTCATCTGTAAGAGAAAACAAAACTTTATAGTTCAGTTGATAAAAAATTGATTAATTTAGTCGCTTATTGTATTACAAACTGTCCAACCTGAAGTTCAACAGTTAATTTCTAAATTTTTTATTTTTAAAGAACCTCTAAAGTATAGGTAATAATAGAATGAAAAGCTAAAGATTTTAACAATCCTTGATAGTATCATATTTATAAGTATGTTAACACAATTAAATCTAACTGTTTTAGAATCATCTGATATCATTATCAGTTAGGCTGTTCTCTACTATAGAGATAAACATTCAAATAACTCTGTAATCGTTTTCAATGTAAATATCATTGGTATACATTTATCAACTTAATGCTGTTTAAAAAAATTAACAGATTTTGACAACAAATAATGCGAAATTACTTAATAAACTACAGATTAATA